GCCCATAGCCTCTTGTGGGATTTAGCCCAGTTTACCTTTCTTACCCTTTTCACTGCCCCGAGGGCTCTCTTGCCCAGTCCCCAGGCCTTCCTCTTCCCTGGTGTTGCGCTTGCTGATCCCTTTGGCTGGATTATTCTTCTCTGTCATCCCTCTTCCCATCACACATGCACACACACACATACATCTCTTGTTTCAGCTAGTTAATTCTGCTCATTAATGAGATTATTTGATTAATATATTTCTAGCCAACAATTAGTGCCTATAAAGGCAAGATTGTGTCAGCTTTGTTCACTTCTGTTCCCAGAGCATATGACATGGTATCTGGCACATAGTGGGCTTTCAGTAATGTGTATTTAATGAACTATTATACCTTATAGGAAATGTACATAAGTACACAGTGGTCCCACACAATCTAAACATGGAACAAGAATTAACACATTAATGAATAAGGGTAGAACAATTTAAGACAATGAAATGCTAAATGCTAAGTATTATGGTGCCAATTTCCAGGCTGGTAAGGTTGTCAAAATTGTCAAAAGTGGTATAGAGTAGGGAATTACAAGATTCTTAGCAAATACAGAGACCCATGAAAGTTTTTGTGAAATATAGTAGACATCTCCTAAAAGGGATAGGCAAGAATTAAAGTAATAAACTTGCTTTAGCTAGGATTACAACTCCAATCTATAGGCTATGAAAAGCCACTGTATATTGATAAGAGGGAAATGGCAGCACCAAAACAATTCTCTAATCCAGGTTGTTTCACCTGTAAATGTGGGAGAAAATGTGGATTACTTTTCAGCAGAACTTGTTTCAAATTCTGGCTCTGTGAATTGGACAAACAATTCAACCATTCTGAAATTTAGTATCCATTTTTGCAGCATAGATATATTTATACATATTTTGTTGTAGTGATCTGGTTATTAAACAAAATAACTGGTAAAGTGCTGTCCCGGCCCGCGGGACGAACATGGAGTGTGCCGGAGACGCCTGCAGAAATGAGACAAGCAAGAGACACAAAGAATGACCAGCAAGACAGGATGTCTGATCAAGCTGGCGAAGTTTATTGTTTACAGGCTCAATTTATACAAGTAGCAAGTAAGGGGTGGGTCAGGAGATAATTGGACCTTAGGTGGCGCTGGCGGGGAGGTGTTTTCACACATCCTCAAGGTCTCCCTATTTTCAGAGTGAGGAGTCTTGGCCCATCTTCAAGGACAAGATATGTTTTTGTGAGCAGATAACTTCCAAGGACTGCACCGGTTGCTCTCAAGCTTGTGCTTTCCCATGCTGCGTTCAGACGTGGGGGAAGGGACATAGCCCCGGCTCCCAACAAAGTGCCTTGCAAGGTCCTTTGCACACACATAAATACTGTTCAAATTCCCTTCCAGCACTTCACTTACAGGTAGGAAGGGTTGCACCAGACACATAGAAGCCAAGGAACTTTCTGTGAGCCAATTTAAAAGCATAGGCATATTAATTTCCTTGGGCTGCTTTTACAAAGTACTACAAACTGGGTGGTTTAAGCAAACAGGAAGTTTTTCTCTCACAGTTCTGGAGGCTAGAAATATGAAATCAGTGTATCAACTGGGCCATGCTCTCTCTTAAGGCTGTAGGTGAGTCTTCAGAGTGTATCCTTCCTTGTCCTAGCTTCTGGAGGTAGCCAGCAATCTTTGGCATTCATTCCTTAGCTCATAGATAAATCATTCCAATCTCTGTTTTCTCCAGTCACCACAAGTCTTCCCTGTGTGTCCATCTGTGTCTCTACTCTTTTTGTAAGGACAACAGTCATACTGGTTTAATGGGCTGCCTTAATTCAATATCTCAGTTTATCTCATTAAATCTGAAATAACCCTACTCTCAAATAACATTCTGAGGTTCTAGGAAACAAAAATTTGGGGAGACGCTATCCAACCCAGTACAATAGGCATAAAATGACAAGGGTCTACACTGAGCTGTTAGCAAATGTAAAACACTTAACAAATTTTAGACTTAATTTAAGGAACAAACTGGTAGAAATTGATGAAGTTGAAAACAGAATCGTTGGAAGCTGTTAATGATTTAACCTTTTGAAGTACTTCTTCAAAAGTCAAAAGAAAATCAAATATAGAGGTGTCCTTTTCTTTACCCCCCTCCTTTACATTGTAATCAAAATTACATAGTTCAGCCCCAAAAAGCAATGCAAGTAGGTCCTGTTTAGATCCCATTATCTAGCACTGTGACCCACATTTGCTTCTATTTCATTCCCATTTGGAATTTTAGAGTTAAGAGTCATCTCAGGGAAGACTTTGTTTAGAAGCTCTTTCCTTCCTGAGGAAACCTTTGTTTTGCATGTTGTTTAGCAAATATTTGTTCAATTATAAGCATAGTGATAAGAGCTAATTACTCAGTCATGAGAAAAAAACAAACAATCTCCACCCTTATGTTAGGTAAAGTCTAGATGGAGACCCAAACAATGAACAAATAAGCTAATAAATGGACAACTTAGATTTTGAAGCAAGTCATGTTACATGTGCCACAAAACAAAGTTCTGTGATTAGGAAATAACAGGTAGAGAAGGAGGTTAGCAGGGAAAAGCTCAGATGTTTATCCAGGTGACATAAAACTGGGAACTGAGACACAAAGTCAGACTTAAATTGAATCAGTGAAATCCCTTAGGTAGAGATTGTAGAAAACATGTTCAAAGGCATTTATTCAGAATTCAAATCTATAAAATTGATGAAAACAAAATTGCTCCTATTTAGACAGAAGCAGGAGGTAAGCACAATATACCTCTTCAGACCTTCCGTGACACCACGTGCTCTCTTGGTTTTAGCGACACAGTTTATAAAGACGGTAAGGAACAGAGAACAAGACATTAGTCAGCTCATAGCACCCCATGTGGTCCTGGGAAGATAAGTATCTCTGAGCATCATATATTCCTCAGTAATAATGATTTACAATGTCTCAGCTTTTAAACTATGCAACTGAGTTATCTGGGTCATTCTAAGCATGTACTGCAGATGGCAATAATCATGGTTTCCGTACTGCTAAAAATGTGCTGCTTCTTTAAAATAATGAAATAATTTATGATTAGTATGAAATTAAAAATAATTTTACAGGCAAACAAGAGTAAAATCATACACATACGGAAATTAAGATCAGGTAAGATTTTCTCTAAAGCATAGTCTCACCAAGATTTCTCTGTGTGGGATTCTCTGTGCCTTCCTCTGTCCTTTGTCTTTTATTCTTCGGCATTTCTTAACAGTTACCTTTCATCTTGACATTTGTATCCCTTTTAAGATCTACAGTGAGAAAAATGATTTTCGGAATTCCTAATATTACCCTCTAATAAACTTTTTCTCAAAATTCAGGTTGCACTTTTCTTCTGGGCTTCTTTCCCAGCACGTCTTCTCTGCTTTGGCAGTAACTCGTCAGTGTAGAGCTGTGTCTCACTGGCAAGTTACCCCTGCACAGGGAACACATTTATAAACAGGTTAAAATACTGGAAGGAGCATGCTTAAAGACACAACAATTTACAACAGAAAAATGAAACAAATTTTCCTTGATTCACCCGTCTTCATTACATTTTGAAAAATCTTCCTCTTTTATCTGTCCTTAGTAACCTGGAAGGTTTTAAGCCAATTAACTTCTTATAATTGGCTTTTTGTTATATGATGATGAATCAGTGGTCAAATTTTTGTTCACCTTTCTTCCTCCGTGTGAAATGCTCTTATGCTCATGATAACCCTTCAGAACTGGAAAAACCAAAAACCTTCCTCATTCTTTAAAATGTATCTCATTCATCTCGTCCTATAGGCACCTTCCCTAGCTGGTCTCGTTGATGTTCCTCAGTACTCTCTGAATACTCTCACCGTAAGGGCAATATTGAATACATGGGCTTTGAAAGTAAAATATGTAGGCTGGTATCTTGACTAAATTCTGTACTAGTGTGATCTCAGACAAGTCACTAAATCTTTAAAGCCTCATTCTCTTTATTTGTGCATTGAGGTACAGAAAGAACTTAACTCCTAAGTTGAAGTAATAAAATTATGCATATAAAACATTTTTCTTCAACTGTTAAAATAGTGTAAAATATGTTTCTTGAATGAACAAAAGTATATTATATTTTTAAAAGAGGTTTAGTTGACACAAGCTTCACTCAGGAAAATGATTGCAGTATGTATCTATGGGTCTAGTACTCACAGTGCTTAGATTCATAAAGACCTTTTCTCATTGGCTTTTAAATTATGCCTGTGTGAGCTAATGGAATCTATGTTATCTAATGGGATATGGCCTGTTCAAGTGATATAGATCATTAGAAATGTGAATTTGACAAATAGATATTTATAAACATACTAATGTGGTATGGTGAGAGAAGGCTCTGGAGCCAGGCTACTACCTATGTTCAAATCCCAACTCTGCTACTTTATAGCCGTGTAATTTGAACAAATTATTTAACTCTTTAATAGCTTCATCTTTTGTAAAATGGTGATAATTACAGAAGCAGTTACATAAACTGAGTAATAAAATTTTTGTGAGGATTAATACAGTTAATATAAGTAAAGTGTTTATAATATTTCCTGGACTTGAGTGAACACGTAGTACTTATTTGTAATTATGACCATATGCTAGGCACTTTGCTGGGTACAGGGTATTCTGTGATGAGCCCTGGGGAAGATAGGCATTGAGCACATTAAAAAAACCCATGAATATGTAATTCTAAACTGTGATCATGCAATGAAGGAAAATAACAGGTCTTAAGTCATACATAACAAGAAGGACTAGAAGGAGAGTAAAAAGTAAGAGTTAAAAGGTAAGCATTCTTATTGTAGGAAATTATTTTGGTATCCAAAGAATGATTTACTTTCCCTCCATGTTGTAACATTTCAAAAAGGAAACAAGTGTAAATTCTACCATTTATTTTCATTCTTATGAATAAACCTTGCCATAATTTTCCTTTTATCACATGAGTGAGTTTGCATAGCTATTCAGAGAAGGACTAAACACACTGTCTGTTTTCACAGCCTATCAACTCAGGGTGTGCCAACCTCCACCACCCGTGCCCAATGCTGAAATTTTGACAGAAGATGATGAATTTGAAATAGGTAAACTCTGTTTAATTACTTTCAAATAAAACATACTGTTAAGAGGCATCTGCTTAAAAAGAAGCAAAAATAAAGAATGGTAGCAGCATTAGGGCAGTATTAGGCAAAAAGACAAATCTGGATTTCCAGATGTACAATTAGAAGACAGTGTAGGAATTTGAACTGTATAACCATGTGCTCTGGTGGTTCCTCGCACAGTATTATTTGTTCCCTCCTGACACTGTGGATCTAACAACTGTTCTTTGAATTCAGGCTTAAGCCTCATACACAGAATGAAGAATATATAACATGTAATTATTAGAAGACCTGTTTTATTTCTATATTCTTGAAAATGATTGCATTATTCTCAATTTTATGGCAAATAAAGTCTTTTTAAAACTGGGTTGGAAATTGCATTTCAGTAATCTCTCACAGTTTGAAAAGTAATGTAAGAATACATCTTAATGTTACCATAATAAACTTTTGTCATCATTATCATATTGATTTTGGTTGAGAAACGTAAGAAAATATCAATAACCAATGAAAATCTAATCTTAATATAAAAGCAGTAACTAGGAGTCATTGCAACTGCTTGATGTAGTTTTAGTAAATATCTTACCAGAACCAACCAGATAATTTCTTTACTACTATTGCTTATATCCAACCAGCATGCAAGAGTACAGACTTACTGGTAATTTCGTTTTTGGCTTTGTCTCTGATTTGTCAGTGCCTATGAAGTACTCTTAGTTCAATATTTTGAATATCATCCCTGCTTATAACTACTAGAATTTTTATACTGATTGAAAATGTCTGAGAGAAAAAAAATTCTGCTTTTACAATTGAAACATCTGTTCATTTTTACCATCACCTTCCTGCTTATCTGAAGCACCCCCTTTTTTTTTAATAGGTGATATTATTAGGTATCAGTGTCTTCCAGGATTTACTTTGGTTGGTAATGCAATTCTGACTTGCAGATTAGGAGAACGACTCCAGATGGATGGAGCACCTCCAGTTTGTCAAGGTACCAATTCTTATGATTATTAATTTCTAAATACCTGTTTTATATTTTATTCAGTGCTGGCAAAATTGATAAAAATCGATTTCACATAAATATTAAACATTTAATTGGCAATAATGTTAATAGTTATACCACTCATGTGTGGTATTTCTCATTGCATTATTTATCGAATTTAACTTTGAATATTTTTTATTCTTCCAAAGTTTAATGTTTCTATTTTATTCCAAAGTCACTTCAACTTACTTCAGTTATTTTTGCTGTGAGTCATGGAAATAGAGATGGAAAATAAGAGAAATCACTTTAAATAAAGGCTCCAGTGTTCATTGCCTTTGCTTGGAAATGCTTTCTGTTTTAATCACTAGATTCATTAAACTTTATTGAGCACCTGTTAACTATGAGGATCTGAGGAATAAATGAACAAACACTAAACAAGTTATAATGGTCCCTGCTGTGAAGACAACAGAGCCTAAGGGATATGATAGCCACACAGGTGGTAGCAATATAGTGTTCAGGAAACAGGACAGACGACTATACAGTCATATAATTTTTAGCTGTTTATGAAGCAGGCAAAGCCTGATGGAGACATTGCTCTGTGAGTCATGGGTTCCAAATGACAAGTAGAATAGAGATAGGGAAAGGGTGGTCCAGGGGACAGAAGTATCTGCAAAGGTGTAGAAGTCAAAGACATGGATGCAGACTCCAAGGAGCTCACTACATTACAAGGACAAGATCATGATGTATCTTGAATGAGGGGCTTGAGTTTTGATGTTCAAGTATCATGTAATGTTCATTGTAGCTCTTAGGGCCCAGGAGAGTGCCTAACACATAGTAACTTAATTATAAATGTTGGTTAATTTGAATAAAATCGAATTGAACTTAATTATCCCTCCCCAAATTTTCTTAGATTATTCCTAAGGATTGAAAATAAGTTTATTGTGCAGTTACTTAACTGTTAAAATGACACTAAAACAAAAAAATTCTGTTTATCATTCCGAACATGCTATAAATGAGAATTAACATTTGATTTTGTATTTCAATGGAGTCCTTACATGAAGATAGAAGGATATTCACAAGGAATATTGACGATAACAAAAAGAAAGATGTTTGGAGGTATAAAACAGTGCCAATGTGTGAATTTCCCTGCCTCTTAGTGATTTTAGAACATCTTGAACTTGACTAGATATTCTGAAGTCTGTCACATATATTCCTGATATTTGAATGTCATTCATTCAACTTCTTCCTTTACATGAGACCACTGTTTTGCCGCTTAAGATTATTTAGGATTTGTACTCAGATAGTTGGACATGTGAATGAACAATAGTCTTAGTCTTTTGGGAGATGATATGTGGGAAAATAACTTGGAAAGATACAGGAAAATGTGAAGGAGCAATTACCTATCAGGATTTCTTCCTTGACCACAATATATAAACTATATTGTGAGCTCTTGGATGACAATGCATCTTTCTAAATATCGGTTCAATAAATTTTTAGTAATTAAAATATATAAAACAATCCAGCTAACCTGGTTAGATAACAAGCTCTCATCTCTCAGACTCTCTATATTCAATTTCTAAAATCAGCATTTCCTATAGATTAATAATTGCATTTATTATATCTGCTGTGCAGGATACAAAAAAGGGTAATGTATTTTCATCTCATAGTAACACTTCAGATACTAGCTAAAAATTAATAAATTATCCTTCAAAATGACTCTGTGCAGTTACTTTATTAATTGACCAGACACTTAAGCTAAAATACTGACTTTACATTTTTGATAATGAGTTAATTCAGAAGCTTGCTAAAACAGTTATTTGCTTGGAATATTACTTGATCTAATCCATTTGATCTAATGTATTGTTCAGTGTCTCTGTTTATTTTTCATCTGGTTGATCTGTCTAATGATGTGAGTGATGTGTTAATGTCTCCTAAAATGTATGTGTTACAATCTATATTCCCCTGTAGTTCTGTTAGTATTTGTTTTACATATGTAGGTGCACCTATGTTGGCTGTGTAGATATTTATAATGTCTATTTACTCTTGTTGGACTGACCCCTTTATCATTATGTAGTGTCCTTCTTTGACTCTTGTTACTTTCTTTGTTTTGAAATCTATTCTGTCAGATATTAAGTACCACTACTCGTGCTTTTTTCTTTCTATCATTTGTATGCAATATCTTTTTCTACCCCTTCACTTTTAGTCTGTGTATGTCTTTGGTTCTGAAATGAATCTCTTGTAGGCAGCATATAGATGGGTCTTGTTTCTTTATGCATTCTGCCATTCTATGTCTTTTGATTGGTGCAGTCTATTTACATTTAATGGAAATATTAATTATAATACATTAATTATTAATAGGTATGTGCTTACTGCCATTTTATTAATTGTTTTCTGGTTATTTTTATGGCTTCTCTGTGTTCCTTTCTTCCTGTCTTATACTCTTCTCTTATTATTTGATGGTTTTCTTTAGTGTCATATCAGATTTCTCTTTCTTAATTTTTTTGTTTATCTAGTATAGGCTTTAATTTTGTAGTTAACAAAGGTTCAAGGATAGCTTCCTTACTACATAACAGTCTATATTAAGTTGCTGACTGCTGTATTTCAAATACAATCTGAAAGTACTTGATTTCTTCCTCCTCCTCCACACTTTATGTATTAGATGTCATAGATCTGTACTTTTTGTGTATCCTTTGACTGATTCTGTATTGTTGCCTGTGGGTTTTTTTTCACTGGTGAAAGCTATTTAGCCTTAGGAACATTTCCATCTACAATATCTTTAACATGTCCTATAATAATAATTTAGTTGTTAAAAATTCTTTAAGCCTTTGTTTATTTGGAAATCATTTAATCCCTGCTTCAAATTCAAGTGACAGTATTGCTGGGTATAGAATTCTTGGTTTAAGGTCCTTCTGTTTCAGTACATTAAATATTTCATGCCAGTCCCTTCTGGCCTGTGATAAGATGATGAATTTGAAATAGGTAAACTCTGTTTAATTACTTTCAAATAAAACATACTGTTAAGAGGCATCTGCTTAAAAAGAAGCAAAAATAAAGAATGGTAGCAGCATTAGGGCAGTATTAGGCAAAAAGACAAATCTGAATTTCCAGATGTGCAATTAGAAGACAGTGTAGGAATTTGAACTGTATAACCATGTGCTCTGGTGGTTCCTCGCACAGTATTATTTGTTCCCTCCTGACACTGTGGATCTAACAACTGTTCTTTGAATTCAGGCTTAAGCCTCATACACAGAATGAAGAATATATAACATGTAATTATTAGAAGACCTGTTTTATTTCTATATTCTTGAAAATGATTGCATTATTCTCAATTTTATGGCAAATAAAGTCTTTTTAAAACTGGGTTGGAAATTGCATTTCAGTAATCTCTCACAGTTTGAAAAGTAATGTAAGAATACATCTTAATGTTACCATAATAAACTTTTGTCATCATTATCATATTGATTTTGGTTGAGAAATGTAAGAAAATATCAATAACCAATGAAAATCTAATCTTAATATAAAAGCAGTAACTAGGAGTCATTGCAACTGCTTGATGTAGTTTTAGTAAATATCTTACCAGAACCAACCAGATAATTTCTTTACTACTATTGCTTATATCCAACCAGCATGCAAGAGTACAGACTCACTGGTAATTTCGTTTTTGGCTTTGTCTCTGATTTGTCAGTGCCTATGAAGTACTCTTAGTTCAATATTTTGAATATCATCCCTGCTTATAACTACTAGAATTTTTATACTGATTGAAAATGTCTGAGAGAAAAAAAATTCTGCTTTTACAATTGAAACATCTGTTCATTTTTACCATCACCTTCCTGCTTATCTGAAGCACCCCCTTTTTTTTTAATAGGTGATATTATTAGGTATCAGTGTCTTCCAGGATTTACTTTGGTTGGTAATGCAATTCTGACTTGCAGATTAGGAGAACGACTCCAGATGGATGGAGCACCTCCAGTTTGTCAAGGTACCAATTCTTATGATTATTAATTTCTAAATACCTGTTTTATATTTTATTCAGTGCTGGCAAAATTGATAAAAATCGATTTCACATAAATATTAAACATTTAATTGGCAATAATGTTAATAGTTATACCACTCATGTGTGGTATTTCTCATTGCATTATTTATCGAATTTAACTTTGAATATTTTTTATTCTTCCAAAGTTTAATGTTTCTATTTTATTCCAAAGTCACTTCAACTTACTTCAGTTATTTTTGCTGTGAGTCATGGAAATAGAGATGGAAAATAAGAGAAATCACTTTAAATAAAGGCTCCAGTGTTCATTGCCTTTGCTTGGAAATGCTTTCTGTTTTAATCACTAGATTCATTAAACTTTATTGAGCACCTGTTAACTATGAGGATCTGAGGAATAAATGAACAAACACTAAACAAGTTATAATGGTCCCTGCTGTGAAGACAACAGAGCCTAAGGGATATGATAGCCACACAGGTGGTAGCAATATAGTGTTCAGGAAACAGGACAGACGACTATACAGTCATATAATTTTTAGCTGTTTATGAAGCAGGCAAAGCCTGATGGAGACATTGCTCTGTGAGTCATGGGTTCCAAATGACAAGTAGAATAGAGATAGGGAAAGGGTGGTCCAGGGGACAGAAGTATCTGCAAAGGTGTAGAAGTCAAAGACATGGATGCAGACTCCAAGGAGCTCACTACATTACAAGGACAAGATCATGATGTATCTTGAATGAGGGGCTTGAGTTTTGATGTTCAAGTATCATGTAATGTTCATTTGTAGCTCTTAGGGCCCAGGAGAGTGCCTAACACATAGTAACTTAATTATAAATGTTGGTTAATTTGAATAAAATCGAATTGAACTTAATTATCCCTCCCCAAATTTTCTTAGATTATTCCTTCATTGAGGTTTATTCCTAAGGATTGAAAATAAGTTTATTGTGCAGTTACTTAACTGTTAAAATGACACTAAAACAAAAAAAATTCTGTTTATCATTCCGAACATGCTATAAATGAGAA